CATATGACCATATAAGATGATGTTAAGTGACATGAACTCCAAGATAGGGACACAAATAACTTTTTTTCTTGCTTGCTTTTGTTTCTAACATATTTATAATGTACCATGTGATTTTTTTGTTGCTTTGTATGTTCCTCCCCCACAGAATAACCCCTATTTTCACTGTATTTGATGTCGGTGCCCTGTAGCTTGTATATACACTTCTCTAGTTCAGGGAGGTGAAGGGAAAAAACAAAATGTTTAAATAAGAATACAGGTTGACCCATTGTAACAATGAGATGTCCAAAACACTATGTTGAAAATGAAATTTACAACATTGAGGGGGTGGCTGGGAGGGAGTAGTTGTGGAGGTGGGAGAGAAGGGATGATAGGGGGAAAACAAAGGAGGAAGCAATAATGCTCAATAGGAAATGGACTCATTACTTTGCTCATGTAACTGTAACCCCTCTGTACAACATTTTTACAATAAAAAACGTACAAAAAAACAGGTTCTGCCTGGGATATGGGCAGCAGTGGGATGGGGGAGGACAAAGATGTTAAAGGAGGGTGATTATTATCTGAATACTTTATGTACATGTGTGAAAATGGAAGTGAAACCTGGTGAGATTGGTTTGGGTAATGGTGAGGGGAGGAGGGTTGTGGGAGAGTGACAGGGTGATCCTGAACAAGGCATATTGTCTGCAGATATGGATATGTCACAATGAGCAATGAATGTTCTGTGTATGGTGGTGGTATGTGGGTGGTGAGTGGATGTAAAGTATGTGTGGTGGTATTATCCCTCCATGAAACAGCACATCAAGTAATTGCCCCAGGACACCTGCCTCATAGTACTGTTTGTTGCCTCCAACCTGGTGATGTGGTAAGCCACTAAAGGTACTCAGGAAGACCCAGGATATTTTGTGGGAGAGAGGAGTGGTGAAGGTCAGAGGAAGAAGGACAGACAGAGAGGGAAGGGGAACAAATACAGTCATAATATTCAGCCATGTAACTTGAGGGTATGGATGGGATTAGGACAGATGGGGAGAATGATGGAAGGGATGACATTGATCAAGATGCATTGTACTAAAAAAATTGACAAGGTAAAATGAAACCTCTTTGTACACTACTTAAAGATAATGAAAGATCTTAAAAAGAAGCCTCTTTAAAACTTTTATAAATAATTAAAATTACCATTCATTTCTTATTTAAGTGCCTTGAAGTCAAAGGTGGGTCTGCGTGAAAATTCATTTTTAAAAATTTGTTGGGACCTGCATTACAGTCTTACATATGGTCAGTTCTTGTGGTAAATATTGCTCATGTGTTGGGATTGTAGGCATGATTCTCATTTATATAATGAGGACAATAATAGTCACTTATTCTTGGTGTGTTGACAATTACATGGCTTCTACTTAAAATGTTTGGCATCATAGGAAGTTCTCAGTAAGTGGTACTGGTGGGCTGACAGTGTTAATCATGATGATCATTAATGTTGGCAGCATACGCAACCTTGTATACAAGACATTTGGTATTTGCTAGACCAGATTCATAATAAACTATTGAAAAAGTGTCATTTTCATGGAGAGGATATATTTTCCTTGGGGATGAAAACTAAGAAGACTTCTGGAAGACTAAGAAAGAGCCTATCAAAGAGGCATACCCTCTTACAGATAAAGATCAGAGACAAGGCAAGAAAATATTGGAAATAAAATATTGAGACTTTAGGGACCTATATATGCTTTCATAGTGTTTATGTTTCCTATTGCCCTGAAGAGAGTTAGTAAAACTAATGAAGTAAAAGGGGGTTTGTCTAATTTCAGGGGAAGGCAAAGAGTAAATAGAATCATTAGTTTTTTTTTCTCATTCTGTCTGACCTATGTTCTTTACTAAATCTATATTTTCAGATTGTATCTTTTCCCGCAGTCTTGCTGTGTTTCCAATGATTTCTGGTGCCATTACTCAGTTACCTTTTGTGAAACATATGCATAACATTGTTAACAAAACTTCCTTCCATGTTTCAAATCTGTTTCTTCTCTATTGTCTCCTGAGCTATAAGGACTGTTACTGTCTAGTCAGATCTGGAGCCCTAAAAATGGGAGCTGGGCTGGGTGCTAGTGGCTCACAGCTGTGATCCTTGCTACTCAAGAGGCAGAGGTCTGAGGATCGTGGTTCAAAGCCATCCTGGGCAGGAAAGTCTGTAAGACTCATACCTCCAATTAACCACCGACAAAGCCAGAATTATTGCTGTTGCTCAAGTGGTAAAGTGCTATCCTTGAGCAAACTGGAGCTCAGTGACAGGGCCTAGGCTCAGAATTTAAGCCCCAGTATCGGAAGAAAGAAAAGAAAGAAAGAAAGAAAGAAAGAAAGAAAGAAAGAAAGAAAGAAAGAAAGAAAGAAAGAAAGAAAGAAAGAAAGGAAAGAAAGAAAGAAAGAAAGAAAGAAAGAAAGAAAGAAAGAAAGAAAGAAAGAAAGAAGGAAGGAAGGAAAGAGAGAGAGAGAAAGAAAGAGAAAGAGAAAGAAAGAAAAAAAGAGAAAGAAAAAAAAGAAAAGAAAAATGTGAGGTGGGTGTCTTTGCCTTCATCTTTATTCTCTCCCCTCAGTTCCTCCATTCTGTCAGTTCTCTTCAAACCTGTCCTTCTTTCTTCTTGTTTCCTAACACAGACCATTATCATTTGAGGTGGTTCTATATTTGTACTCCAACATTAGATTGGTCCTTTACACACATTATTTAATTTTCTTAACTATCTTGTGAAGAAAGTCATTTTACATATGAGAAACACTAGGTTAACAGAAATAAAATAACTTGTCCAATTGGTTAGATGCACAGTTAATAAACTTAACCTGTCTTTTTGCCTGAACATTGCAATAATTTCCTACTTCTCTTAATTTTTTTCTTTTTTTTCAAATGTAAAGGGGTAATATATAAAAAGAAATCAGAATTATATAAACAGAAATGGTTTATTGTTGCCTTAGATCTTTGTATGCACAAATATATTTAGACAAATACTTTAGGAAATATATCATTCTGTATTGTAGTGCAAGTAGTTTTTGTGACTCATATGTGTGTTTTCATGTCAGTATGTACATATCTACAATGTTTTAAATGTCTCCATTCTATTCCATTATGTACTATATTATTTTGCATACTAATTCTTTTTGTTCCCTGGCTTGGTGTAGTGACTCATACGGGTCATCCCAGCTATTTGGAAGGCAGAAATAAGAGGATTGTTTGAGCCCAGCCTGGACAAAAAAGTTAGTGAGACATAGCCATAGGCAAAAAGCATTAGCCCCTATCTGAAGAAAAATGAAGCAAAAAGTATTGGTGTCGTGGCCTAAGTGGTAGAGAACTTGCTTAAAAAGTAAAAAGGCCCTTGGGCTGGGAAGGTGGCTCAGTGGTAGAGTGCTTGCCTTGCATGCCTGTAGCCCTGGGTTTGACAACTAAGTACCACATAAGCAAAAAGAAAAAAGCCAGAAGTGGCACTGTGGCTCAAGTGGTAGAGCGCTAGCCTTGAGCTGAAGAGCTGAGGGACAGCGCCCTGGCCCAGAGTTCAGGTCCCACGACCGGACCCCCCCCCCCCCAAAAAAGTAAAAAGCCCTATTCAAAAAAGATCAATTTTGTTCTTATAAATAATATTGCAGTAACATTCTTGAAATATACACCTTTGCATGTATTTTTTTGATGTCAGTCCTGGGGCTTGAACTCAGGGCCTGGGCTCTTCCATGAGCTTCTTTTGCACAAGGCTAGTAGTGCTCTACCACTTGAGCCATAGTGCCACTTCCAGCTTTTTCTGAGTAGTTTAATAGAGATGAGTCTCATGGACTTTCCTGCCCAGGCTGGCTTCCAACTGAAATTCTCACATCTCAGCCTCATTAGTATCTAGGACTACAGGCATGAGCCACTAGCAGCCAACTGCCTGTACATTTTAATACATTTTTTATTAGACAGAGCCTTAGAAGTAGTGGAGTACACTTATTTTAGAATACAATATACACTTTCAAATTCCCCTCCTATTTTTCTTTACACCAATCCTTCAGGTTTATAGAGATATCTTTACAGAATGAATTTGATTATATAATTTTCCAACATTAAAAAGTGTTCTATGTATCCCTACTGTGTATGCAACCAAAACTTTCTATTTTCAAGAGTATTTAAGTTTTGTACTTGGCCCCAACTTATTTTTCATGCTAGTTTCCCTTACCAACAAGCAAAATCCACCTCTTCTGTAAAATCCTCCATGTATACAGCTCTGTCTACCTTTCTCTATGTGAGATAAACATAGTTTTCCTTCTCAAGCTTTCTATGGTTTTTCATTTACAATCCCTCTGGTGGCATTTGGTACAATTCCATGTTCATGTGTGTCTGTCTCTGGTGATGGTCTGCGATTTTCTTAAGTGCAGCACTTGATCCCCAATATTTGTGCAATACTTGATAGTGGTGCTCAATAAATGCTGATGAAATCAGGACAGCTATTCCTAAGGTGTAGCACTGGTTCAACAAGATCTTTGGGAGATACAGTAGTTGCTGGAAGTTTTTGAAACATAGTAGAAAGCTGACTGAATGCCAGGAACATGGGTGCTGGTCAGGAATGGAGAAATGAGCCCAAACTGGCAGTTCTCATTAGCTTTTCCCTTCTACTGCAGACACCAACTGCCTGATTATTTGGGTTAATAGAACTGGGACTTGAGAACATTTAAAGTAATAAAAGTTGGATGATTGAGAACTTATGTGGTAGCAGGGGAATTTGACTCAGTTCTTCTATGTGCTTTCCAGACTAAAATGCTTATCCTGAGCAACTCAACCCCACTTCCTGGAGTCATAAATAATTTCTTGAAAAATCAAAAGCCTCTTCATTTTCAGGATACAATTCAGCTGGTAGCAGGAATGGTAAATTGGTAGATTCTTCTGTTTGGTTTCTCTATCCTGAATCAAGGGAAACAGTAAAAGTAGGCTCATAGCCTTGTAGGATTATGAGCCTATTCTGGAGTAAATCATCTGTGTGAAATTCTTTATTCTGTCATTTCAGACAATTTGTAGCTGTCCTTATCTGTGACTTTGAAGAAGAATAGAAAAAGAGTAGAAGACATCATGTCAGAGATATTGGACCTCTCTTTTCTGTCTGAGGTGGAAAGGGATTTGATTCTCAACGTCCTGCAGCGAGATGAGGAGCTCAGGAAAGCAGATGAGAAAAGGATTAGGTAAGAGTCCCAGAAAAATTAGGTAGCCCCCAGCCTTTGACCTTAAGGCCTTGTCTTATGCCTGTCTTCTGACTTCCAGAAGCACTTGTATATATGGTATTTACTACTCCTCATTGATAATTTGGGCTTTGAGTTTGTTGCTTTCACAGAACCAGATAGTCTTCCTATCTTTGCTTCTCAATGCTTCCCCATCCAACCTGTGCAGATCCTGAATCTACTTGTGCTCTCTATTGGTCTTGGCAGGCGACTGAAGAATGAACTACTGGAGATAAAAAGGAAAGGGGCCAAGAGAGGCAGTCAACACTACAGTGATCGGACCTGTGCCCGGTGCCAGGAGGGCTTGGGCCGTTTGACTCCCAAGAGCAACACTTGCTGGGGTTGTAATCACCTGGTATGTCGGGAGTGCCGCATCCAGGAAAGCAATGGTTCCTGGAGGTGTAAGGTGTGCTCCAAGGAAATGTGAGTGTCATCTGTGGCTTACTAGAAAGATGAAATGAAGCCTGAGTACATTTCCTCAGTTTGTTTTGGTAGTTTTGCTTGAATGACAAGAGCCATGTTTAATCTTTCTGTTATGATCTTTTATTTATTCCCAGAGAGCTGAAGAAAGCAACTGGAGACTGGTTTTATGATCAGAAGGTGAATCGTTTTGCTTACCACACAGGCAGCGAGATAATCAGGATGTCCCTGCGCCGCAAGCCGGCAGGTACTGGGCCTGTTCTGTGTGAAGGAGTTCCTTGCAGGGCTTTACCTTAGTGATAGGCCTACCCATGGGGAATCCCAGTGTATTGTGACTGCTGGAATCTTAACTTCATCCACTCAGGAAATTTGGGGGAATCAAAAGGATTATTTCTTTTCTTTCTGCAAATGTGGTAGGTTTGGGGGAGCGATAGTGTAAGCGCTGCTTTCCCTTTCCTGCCATGTTTTTGTTTGTCTTGAAGTGAGTAAAAGAGAGACAGTGGGACAGTCGCTCCTTCATCAGACCCAGATGGGAGATGTTTGGCCAGGAAGAAAGATCATTCAGGAGCAACAGAAGGAGCCCAGGTGAGAACCAAGTAGTCATTTTAAACATCTCTACAACATCTTTTTAATTGTCTTATGATTTTTTACCTTTTTTTTGTTGGTCATGAGGCTTGAACTCAGGGACTTGGCACTGCCCCTGAGCCTCTTATGCTCAAGGCTAACACTCTATCACTTTGAGCCACAGCTCCACTTCTGGTTTGGAGATAAGTCTCATGAAGACTTCTCTGCCCCAGCTGGCTTCAAATTGTGATCCTCAGATCTCAGCCTCCTGAGTAGGTAGGATTACAGGCATGAGCCACCAGCACCTGAAAATTTTTTACCTGTGCTTTAAAAAATAACAGATGTTCATTGCAGGAAAATTTAGAAAGTAGAGGAAACAATAAAGAAGGAATGAATAAATCAATCCCAATTCTACCACCCACCTGTTTATCAGCATTTTGGTGCACTTTGTTCTTCTTAAGAACAATTGGAAAACAAATAAAAGCACATACAGATTAGGAAAAAATAACCAATATGGGAAACAAGAAAGCAGCATATCATCCAAATCTCTACTCTTGCAGTTTTCATATTAGAGGAGAATCATTTCAGATATATACTGTATGTATAAGGGTGACTAGATAGGAAGACTAAAGAGAACTTTCCAATATTGGACTATAACATAATTTAAAATTTCTGTTTAATAAAGCTAACAGAATAGAACATTAAGTGAAACACTAAAATAGATGGGGGGGAAGAATTACTAATCTTCAGAGAAATGCCTATTGTAAAGGATTTTAGTCATCACCATCCCTCTAAACTTAAGAAAATTATTATCAAAATCACTGAGCAGTTAGTCACTTTTTAAGTATTTATGTAACAGCATTATTGAAATATAATTCAAATACCATACAATTTATTCACATGAAAAAAAACAAAAAAATTCATTCACATGATATGCAGTATCTGCATACAGCTGTATGACCAACTCAGTTGATAGTTATCTTTATCATCTTAAAAAGAAAACCTGTACCCTTTAGTTATGTCCTCCCCATCACCCTCTCTATCCTTCATCCCTAAGCAATTGCTGATCTACTTAACCAACTCTTATTTGCCTATCCTGGATATTTCATATAAATAGAATCATATAATATGTGGTCCTATGTGGCTGAATATTTTGTTAGACAAAGTGCTTTTTAAAAAAGGTATATCCATATTCTAGCATAACCAAAAATCATTTTTATTCTTTAAAAAATTATTGGGGCTGGGAAGGTGGCTCAGTGGTAGAGTGCTTGCCTTTCATGCATGAGGCCCTGGGTTCGATTCCTCAGCACAACATAAGCAGAAAAAAAGCTGTGGCTCAAGTGCTAGAGTGCTAGCCTTGAGCTGAAGAGCTGAGGAAAAGTGCCCAGGCCCAGAGCTCAGGCCCCACAACTGACAAAAAAATATTATTATCATCAAGGTGATGTACAGAGGGGTTACAGTTATATAAGTTGGGTAAAGAGTGCATTTATTGCCGGGCGCTTGTGGCTCACACCTGTAATCCTAGCTACTCAGGAGACTGAGATCTGAGGATAATGTTTCAAAGCCAGCCGGGGCAGGAAAGTCTGTGAGATTCTTATCTCCAATAAACCACTAGAAAATCGGAAGTGGCACTGTGGCTCAAGTGGTAGAGTGCTAGCCTTGAGCTGAAGAGTGCAGGGACAGCGCCCAAGCCCAGAGTTCAGAAGAGTGCATTTCTTTTTGTTTCACAATGTCACTCCTTCCCTCTCTTTTTATCCTTAAATAACATTCTATTATATTCATGTGAAATATTTTGTTCATTCATCTATTTATGAACATTTGGATTATTTCCACAATTTTGCTACTAAGAGTAATGCTAATATGTGTATTTGTTATGAGATTTACGTATATATATATATAAAATTTCTCTTAGGTGGGTACCATAGATTAGTTACTGGTTCTTTTTTTTTTTTGGTCAGTCATGTGGCTTGAACTCTGGGCCTGGGCGCTGTCCCTCAGCTTTTCAGCTTAAGGCGAGCGCTCTACCACTTGAACCACAGCTGCACTTCCAGTTTTCTGCTGGTTAATTGGAGATAAGAGTCTCATGGACTTTCCTGCCCAGGCTCCTCAGCCTCCTCAGTAGCTAGGATTACAGGTGTGAGCCACCTGCGCCTGGCTACTGGTTACTTTTGATATGAAATATTATCAGTAGACTCTGCTATGAAATTGGAGGGGAAATTAGCTTTCTTTTCCCTTTCTCTCACATCTTTTCTTTTATTCTCACATTTTTTACTCAGATTATTTTAATTCATCAGGATTTGTGACATTAACTTTGTGTTATATAACCATAAATCATCAGCTTTCAAAAACTATTTTTAGGGCTGGGAAGGTGGCTCAGTGGTAGAGTGCTTGCCTTGCATGCATGAGGCCCTGGGTTTGATTCCTCAGCACCACATAAGCAGAAAAAGCCAGAAGTCCCTGTTTTCACTGTATTTGACGTCGTGCCCTGCATTTTGTATATACATTTTTCTATTTTGAGGAGGGGAAGGGAAATAACAAAATGCTGAAACAAGGATACAGGTTGACCCACTGTAACAACAAAATGTACAAGACACTATGTGGACACTATGTTGAAAATGAACTTTACAACTTGGGGGCCGAAGGGGATGTTGGGGAGGTAGGGAGGGATGGGATAGTAGGGGAAAAACAAAGGAGGAGGTAACAATGCTCAAAAGCAAATGTACTCATTACCCTACTCATATAACTGTAACCCCTCTGTAGAGTATCTTTATAATAAAAAAAAAAATTTAAAGCCGGAAGTGATGCTGTGGTTCAAGTTGTAGAGTGCTAGCCTTGAGCTGAAGAGCTGAGGGACAGTGCCCAGGCCCAGAGTTCAGGCCTCCCAACAATGGACCAAAAAAACCAACAAATATTTTTAGTTTTAGTTTAATTTTAAAATGGGTTATACGCCTGCAACCATGTTTTGTACCATAGCTTCTCTGTTTTTGAATTATTTACTTTCACTAATTTCCTTTAAAAAAGATTTTAATTAGTATAAATTATTTGTATGAAAAGGGGTTTCATTGTGATATTTCCATGAATGCGTATAGTATATTCTGATCAAACTCACCCTATCACTCTCTACACCCCTCCTTCTACAGCAATATTAATAGGTTTCATTGTTCTATCTTCATATATGCAAATATATGAAAATCCATTTCATTCTCATTTACTCTCTCTTTTGCCCGCTTCATGCCTGGTGATATCTGCCCTCACAGTAAAACCTATTTTTTTCATTTTCATTTATTTTCAGTCGTTTTATTTTTAACTATGTATTGCTTATACCAAGGACTTTCACTATGGTATTTCAGACATACATGCATTATATTTTAGTCAGAATAATCCTCTCTATTGCTTTCTCTTTTATTATTCCTATACCTCTATTGATTAACAGCTTTTAATTATTGAGATTCCTTATGCCATCTTCATACATAGTTGCACAGTATATCCATATTATTCAACCTCTATCATTCTCTTTCCCACTCTCCTCTCTTATTCCCTTAAACAGTCCATAGTTACATTGTGCATGTGTTTGTGTATATATGTATATGTGTAATTGTATTTCCTTTTCTATTCTTTTTTGAAATTTAGTAACTTAACAAGAATATAATTCATTATGTATTCTTTTTCCTCATATGTAGTACAATATTCAGTTTTTCTTCATTGTTGGAAATTTTTTCTGTACCTATCTGTGAACTTTTTATCTTTCATTAAGTTTACTACGTCAGGTATTAATTATTCCATTACATCTCTTTCTGTTCTTTGCTACTGTATAATGCAAAAGAAAAAGTAAAAGCTGAAAACAGTTATTCATGATTTAGCTCAACTTGTTCCTTTATATTAGTTTGTTTTATCAATTTTCTTCCTTCCTCCCTCCCTTCCCTCTCTCCCTCCCTCCCTCCCTTCTCTCCCTCCCTCCCTCCCTCCCTCCCTTCTTCCTTCCTTCCTTCCTTCCTTTCTTCCTTCCTTCCTTCCTTCCTTCCTTCCTTCCTTCCTTCCTTCCTTCCTTTCTCTCTTCTCTTTTTTGTCCTACTACTATTTTTAATTTAATAATTTGAATAGTTTACCTTGCCTAGATTTTCTTTTTTGTGTGCTTTTAGTCTTTCTTCTCTTATTTTATGGTTTTATCATCTTGTATTTGAGCTCTTGTGTTTTATCCAATCTCTTTTGTCACTAAGTTTTCCTGTAGTGTAAAGCATTCACAAGAAACCTGCTTATTTTTTAGGTTATAGTCTGCTCCAGTCTAGGTACTTTGTCCAACATACAAGTGGTTCCCATTTTTCCCTGCTCCATGGCTAATAATTTGTCTGTCGGACCATTTTATTTCATTTTATTCGTGTTTAATAAGGTAAGCTTGGTTTATGTATTTTGTTCTATATAGTGTATGTAAATTTGAAAAAAAATGTTTCTCCCATACTTAGCTGCACTTCAGTTTGAGGAGTGAATATTGCTTTCTACATAATTAAACATTAGTTAATGACAGAGATATGTTCTGCAAAATACATTGTTAGGTAATTTCATGATAGTGCAAGCAACAGAATACATATGAACAAAAAACAAAATCACTACATGATGATAGATGTAGTCCTTTTCTGACTAAAATATCTTATGTAGCATATGACTATTTCTTTTTCATTATCTATATCTCTATCTATCTATCTATCTATCTATCTATCTATCTATCTATCTATCTATCTATCTATCTATCTATCTATCTATCTATGCCAGTTCTGGGGTATGACCTCAGTGCACAGCTGGCATTCTAGCACTTGAACCATGATTCCAAATGTACAATAGAGCACCATCAATGCTTATTTCAATTTACCTACAACTAACTTAGTACCCATTGATTAGAAAGTTGTATTTGGTCTAGTGCCTACATTTTAGTTGTATTACTTCTGTTTTTGTTTTGTTTGCTATTGAGTTGTTTGAGTTCTTTTAATTTTTTTCTGGAAATAGGGTTTTGAACTCAGAGCTGTGTGCTTGCTAGGCAGCCACTCTGCCATTTAAACCACATCCCAGCACTTTTTTGCTTTAGTTAGTGTTCAAAAAGAATCTTGTATGTTTTGCCTGGGACCAACCTCAGGCCATGATCTTCTTGTCTCCCACTTCTGTGCAGTTGGAATTATAGGTGTATATCAGCCATACTGACCCAAATTTTTTCAGTTTATTCTGGATTCCAACCTTAATAAAACTTACAGTTTGAAAATATTTTCTCTCATTGTATAAATTTTATCTTCACTCTGTTAATGATTTCCTTTGCTGTGCAGAAGCTTTTTAGTCTGATACAATCCCATTTGTCTTTTTGCTTTTTTTATTTTGCTTTTGGCATGTTATACCTTGTCTCATTTGGTTGTTGCTGATGAATTTTAGAAGTTTATGTATGTGTGTGTGTGTGTGTGTGTGTGTGTGTGTGAGAGAGAGAGAGAGAGAGAGAGAGAGAGAGAGAGAGAGAGAGAGACAGAGAGACAGAGAGAGAGAGAGAGGGAGTTTTTTCTTCTTTCCTTCAACCAAAGAAAATTTTTTATCCCATTTCATATGATTGTTAAATAACAGAATATGTTGGTTGTTGTTGTATATTCCTATAATCCCTGACACTCAAAAGGCCATAAATTTGAGATTATCAGCCTGGCCAACATACTGAGACCCTGTCTAAAAAAACCAAACAATATAGAAATGTATAAATTAAATCCTCTAGATACTTCATTGTCTCTGCCCTATTGTTTTATTGTATTTTGAAGCCAGACTGGGCAGAAAAGCTCACAACACTCCATCCTTAAAATAACTACTGCAATTCAAACTCTGGTACTGGCAATAAATAAATAATACATCAGTAATTGTCTGGGGACAGGGATAAAGTGGAAGGGAGGAATTTCAAAGGAATATGAGGAAACTTTTAGGAGTGACAGATATGCTTGTTATGTAAATTTTGGTAATGATTTTGTTAGTGCATACATATGTCAGAACTCATCAACTTTCACCCATAAAAATATGCAGCTTATTTATGTCCATTATAATATCTGTTATAAAAAATCCTATAGAAAATAAGACATCTGGGCTGGGAAGGTTGCTCAGTGGTAGAGTGCTTGCCTTGTATGCACGAGGCCCTGGGTTTGATTCCTCAGCACCGCATAAGCAAAAAAGCCAAAGTAGCACTGTGGCTCAAGTGGTAGAGTGCTAGACTTGAGCTGAAGAGCTGAGGAATAGTGCCCAGGCCCAGAGTTCAGGCTGACAAAAAATTAAAATATATATATATATATATATAAAGAAAGAAAATAAGACATCTTCTTCTGGGGCTGGGAAGGTGGCTCAGTGGTAGAGCGCTTGTCTTGCTTGCCTGAGGCCCTGGGTTCGATTCCTCAGCACCACATAAGCAAAAAGAAAAAAGCCGGAAGTGGCGCTGTGGCTCAGGTGGTAGAGTGCTAGCCTTGAGCTGAAGAGCTGAGGGACAGCGCCCAGGCCCAGAGTTCAGGCCCCATGACTGGACCCAAAAAATAAAAAAATAAAAAAAAAAAATAAAAAAAGACATCTTCTTCTTCACCTTTTTAACATTTGTATGGTGTTCTGTTGTATGTATGTACTGTGATTTTATCCACATAGCCTTGGGTGGGTGAGTCATCTGTTCCAGGTGATGAGGCCCCCTTTTTCCTTTGTGGATAAGGATAAAAATGGCTTTTACTTGCTGAACCTGATTAACACATCTGACATCATTAGTCAGAATGTAATTTCTGAAACCTACTGCTTCTGGCTGTCTGTGACCTCTTGTCTCATTGGACTAAGAAGACTCTTATTTATTCTAAACATTAAGTGATCATAAATGATCTTTTCCATAAAATTATGGAGTTTCAGAGATAATTGGATTCAACCCCATTATTTTTACAGAAAAGAAAGCAGGATAAGTGATTTACCTAAGATCATACAGACAAAGCCCTGGACTCCTATCTCTTCATTTATTTTTTACTGCACAGATGTCAAATAATTGCTTTTTTTGCCTTAGGGTTGTTTGTATCAGCTCTGGATTAGTACATGTTAATCTTTAGGGAGAAAAACATACAAGCAAAAGGCAGTCTTTATGGGCTACTGTTGAACAAACTCTGTAGAGGAATGATTCTATTGGAGTTCAATTTTTCTTGGGAGCAAAGAGGGGAAAAGAATGATTTTAAAGTTAAGAATAAAATCAAGTCCCTTACTGTGTCTTGTGCTATAAACATAATGTGTTTCTCAAGGAATGACCACCATTTCACCTCTAGGATTTCAACCCTTTGCTGTTTGTTTTCAGTCTGTAAATTTATTCTTCACTGGCTGTGATATACATTTTGTTTGTTTCTTTGTTTGATATGTCAGGTACCATTTAAGGCACTGGGATATAAACAGTATAGCACATATTGACATGTGCAGTGGCAAAAATTCAGCAGACTGAAGGGCTGGGAAGTACTGGGAAGGTGTGTACATACACTGTTTTCTTTAGAATAGCAAGGGCAAGTCCTAAGAAGAAGGTGACATTTGAGTAAAGACATGAAGCAAATGAAGGAGCAACTCCAGAGAGTATTTGGGGAGCATTGTAGGCAGAAACAACAGCAAGGATATAGACCTGAAAGTGAATTTGTGGACCTGGGAAGGTGGCTCAGTGGTAGAGTGCCTGCCTTGCATGCATGAGGCCCTGGGTTCAATTCCTCAGCACCACATTAGCAGAAAAAACTGGAAGTGGCACTGTGGCTCAAGTGGTAGAGAACTACCCTTGAGCTGAAGAGCTGAGGGACAGCACCCTGGCCCAAAGTCCAGGCCCCACAACTGACCCAAAAAAAGGTGAATTTAGTTTGGCACTTTTGAGTAATATTTAACTGAGTGGGATGACAGGATGATAGGAGGTGAGGGCAGAGATGTAAGACACTGTTGACATTTGAAAGGATTATTTTCTATTCGGAGTGAAAAGGATGGCTCAGAACGAGTAACATGATTTTAGTTTTTCTTTTTTTTTAATTGAATAAAATTTCACATCACATATAAATCATCAATGAACAATTTAAAGTGTTCAATTTTGTGATTGGTAGTTCTTTCAGAATGTTGTGTTGCTATCACCACTCTAATTTCAGAACATTTTCATCACTCAAAAGAGAAATCTTGCCAGGCGCTGGGTGCCAGTGGTTCATGCCTGTAATCCTAGCTACTCAGGAGGCTGAGATCTGAGGATAATGGTTCAAAACCAGCCTGGGCAGGAAAGTCCAGAAGACAATCTCCAGTTAACCACCAGAAAACCGGAAGTGGTGCTGTGGCTGTGGCTCAAGTGGTAGCGTGCTCGCCTTGAGCTGAAGAGCTGAGGGACAGCATCCAGGCCCAGAGTTCAATCCCTACGACCTACAAAAAAAGAAAGAACATAGAAACAAAATGTTGTACTCATTAAACAACCACTCCTTATTTCCTTCAGCCCTTAATATGATATCGATCTCTATGGACTTGCCTATTTATGTATAGTGGAGTCATACAAAATGTGCCCATTCTTTCTGTGAAGAAGACTGAGAATGGATATGAGAGGAGGTGATCAGTAGAATGTGGCATTCTAAGAGATGGTGAATTTACTTGAGGAAGAATTTTTCTCTTTCCTATTTCTCTTATTAATTTTTTGAGACAAGGAGCTGAGGAAAAATGCTTTTCCTTTTTTTTTTATTTTTTATTTTTCCGGTTGTGGGGCCTGAACTCTGGGCCTGGGCGCTGTCCCTCAGCTCTTCAGCTCAAGGCTAGCACTCTACCACTTGAGCCACAGCACCACTTTCCAGCGTTTTTCTTTTTTGCTTATATGGTGCTGAGGAATCGAACCCAGGGCCTCAGGCTTGCAAGGCAAGCGCTCTACCACTGAGCCACCTTCCCAGCCCTGCTTTTTCTTTTTTATGAGACATATTACTTATTTTTGGACATGCCTAAGCCCCACTGAGAGAATTTATTCAGGAATTTAAATACTAAATTTGAGAACCTACTCTTTGCTTGCCTGTCTTTTAGGCAGTGGAAACACAGCAGTGAAGAAGAGATGTGGCTACTGACCTCATAAAACTTGTCTAATAGATAAGAAACATTGTTTAAAAGATTGAGTAAAGTAAATGATTTCTTTAAAGTCATGAATAATTACATATGTGATTAATGCTACCAAGAATCAGTATACTTTGTGAATATAATTATTAATCTTCTTTGGAATATAGTCAGAAATAGATGTCTAAGGGCTGTGAATGTCTTTTAGTGGTGGAGTGATCATCTAGTAAGTGTGAGAGGTCCTGAGTTCAAACCCCAATACTAGCCCTATAAAGGGCTAGCTTCAAGAAATAGATGTATCCAGGTGAGGAAAAGTGACTATTGTGAAAAGACCTATTTCATGTTGAGAAAAATAGGAGAATTTGAGGGTATTTAGGAACCCAAAGAGCTTGAGTTTTCTAGAATGTAAGATGTGAAGAGGAGTAGAGGGTGAAAGATGTGACTGAGGAGGTAAGCAGGGCCCATGTTCTAAGGATTTTCTTGCCATACTAAAGAGATAAAACTCCCAACAGAATTGGGAACCACTGAAGGAACTTGAACAGGTTGGTGTGACTGAGTTGGCAAAGGATCCAAGTAGAGGCAAGAGAGCTCACTTCCTCGAAAATGATGGATCTTGGATTTTATTCCAGTGTGCTATTTGAAGTGCCAAAGCTGAGAAGTGGAAAGAGTGCACTGGAGGCTGAGAGCGAGAGTCTGGATAGCTACACAGCTGACTCAGATAGCACCTCCAGGTGGGATTCCTCCACTTTCCTCATCTCTGCTCAATCTCAGGTCCCAATTTTTTCTTAAGCACCATGATGCAGGTCTCCTATGCCTTGAGTGTTCCTCATACATATCCCCAGGAGACTGAAGTCTTTTCTCTGACCTCACCAGAGTTTCTCAGTAACATAGTAGCATTTGGCTTTGTTAAAGTGTGTTAAAGTGCCCAGACTGCTGCATTCTGGAGGATTTTTCCTTTGTTGCTCTTCCTTAGGAATGGGGGTGTGTTTGTATTAGTGTGAAGTAGCTTGCTTGATCTTTTGAATTCCCTCACCTTACGCCAGATGTGAACTTAACTTCTAGGTTTGGCTATTGTCGTGACCTCCAAGCTAGGGATACTCCTTCTTTCCAGAGGTATGAGTCCTAGGTGGAAGATATAGAGGGGAGGATATAACATAACTTTTGAATCTACCTCTAGGAGAGACTCTCTGGATAAATCTGGGCTTTTTCCAGAATGGAAAAAGATGTCTGCCCCCAAATCTCAAGTAGAAAAGGTAAAGTTTTAGTTATTGGTATTTTCCTTCCCCTCCCCTTAACTCCTCTCTCTTCCCTTCCCCTTCACTTTCCCCCCTACTCTCTTCCTCACTTTCCCCTCCCTCTTTCCTCCCCTCCTTTCTTTTCTTTTAATCGCAGTACAAAATTAAATCAGTAATTCAGTTGAGCAATTTTCACTTCAGATTCACTTGGAAGTGTTTTCTAGGGTTTTTGATGAAATGTGAGGGAAAATAGGTTTTAATACTATTTCTAGACATTTACTCTTTCCTTAAAGTTTGTCATAGTTGGATGAAAATCTGAGTCTTGTTCTGCTTAATGCTATATTTCCTATTCACTCATTCCACTTAACTTTTTCTATTTTCATACCTTCCTAGGAAATTCAGCCAGGGAGTCAAAATGCAGTATTTGTTGATGAAAGTGAAATGATATTCAAGAAGAACACTAGAAAAGTCCTTAGGCCCTCAGGTAGCCTGCTTCGTTTCATGGTCTTTTGGGATTGAAATTCCAAGTACCTTTGGTGGGTTTTTGGTATGGAATATAATATAGTGGATCTCTTTTGACTAATGATTTTTGGTTTCCCACTCAGAATATACTAAATCTGTGGTCGATCTTCGCCCTGAAGATATGGGACATGAAAGTAGCTCTTTGGGAGACAGAAGCAGATCTGTTCCAGGCCTCAGTGTGGATATGGTAAGAGCTCTTATATTTCACTTCATAATGACTCAATTTTGTTAAAATTAAAGTTATGGCTTTAGTACCTGATGTATTCTTTTTTCTGTACATTTTCTTTTCTTTCGATGCTGGGCCTGGGGCCTGGGGCCTGGGGCTTTAACTCAGGGCCTGGGCACTGTCCCTGAACTTTTATGCTCAAGGCTAGAGTTGTACCACCAGCTTTTTGGTGGTTAATTGGAAATAAGAGTCCCATGGACTTTCTTCCCAGGCTGGTTTTAAATCATGATCCTCAGATCTCAGCCTCCTGAATAGCTAGTATTACAGGTGTAATTATAGGTATACCTAGGTACACCTAGGTACCTAGCTTAGAACCAGATATTTTCTATTAACCTAATTATTTAGGCCAAAGCAATGTGACTATTGATCCCCCCAAAATTCTGAAGTAAATATAGTTCCTAGTTTGCTTAAAGGAAAGGACTCTCTTTGTCTCTTATCTTGACCACATTGTTGGATATATGATTGGCCACTGAAAAAATCACTTATTTTAAATAAAATATAAAGAGATGGCTGGGCTAAGACAGTCAAATGGAAAAGAGTTATGCTCCGATGAAGAATATTATTTGTCTTTAGGACCAGCACACATGCACACAAGCACACAGGCACACAAAGAATAAACATCTAAGAATCGTAAATTGAGTGATCAGTGATGAAATGAACACATACCAGAGGAGAAACCCAGAGAGTTAATTTCTGTACCCCTCTTCCAGACAAAGCACAGGGTGAGGGTACTCTGGAGAGGAGGAGAGTGTACTATGGAGGGGAAGAGGAGGGGTACTGTGGAGAGGAGGAGGCGGGTATTGTGGATAGGAGGAGGAGGAGGAGCTACTATGGAGAGGAAGAAGGGACTAATTCCAGGCTGGGGTAGGCCACAGCAGAGAAATGGCCAAGGAAACACCCCTTGGTATGAGGATTCCTGGTCCTGTGTTTGGCTTGGATCATTGCCTTGAGAAGGAGAAGGAGTGACACACAATCTCCTCATTACCAGCTTGAGCCAGGCTGGCCTGTATCTAATGACTGGTGGCTAGGGCCACAAAGTATGAACCACACAGCCAGGGTGAGGTAGCTTTAGCCTTTCTCTTATTCGTCTCTCAGATAAGCTTTGTCACAGAATTCCAGTACTCTTTTTTTTTTTAATTTTATTTTATTTTATTTGTGAACATACTGTACAGAGGGGTTACAATTACATGGGCAGGATAATGCGTACATTTCTTACCAAGCATTGCAGCCTCCTCCTTTGGTCCAGTACTCTTAAAGCCTCATTTATAACTCTTTAGACAGAAATCCTCCAAAAACAGAAAAAATGATCATGGAAGAACATTTGAGAATGTATTAAAAAAAAAAAAAACTGTGTGCCTATACTGAGACTTGAATTCAGGGCCTTAGGCTCTACTCACTTGAGCCACAGCTCCACTATTGGCTTTTTGCTGGTTCATTGGAGATGAGAGTGTCAAGGACTTTTCTAAGCAAGCTGGCTGAGAACTACCATCCTTCTATCTTAGCCGCTTATGTAGCTGAGATTACAGGCATGAGCCACACTCCTGACTCATAGTGGTTCTTTTAAGTGGATGATATGAACTCATTACGTGCAATCGCTTGGTGGTTTGTCCCAGAGATCTTTCTACAGCTTTGATTACATTCTCCAGTCTCAGGCACTGCTGGCCCTGCAGGTTAATTTCCCCTTGGACTTTGCCACTCTCCTTTAACTTCCTCTTCGTTGAGTTGGGTCTTCTGAACTTCCTGTTGCAATTTCTCTGCTTCAAGATCGTTTTCCATTTTCTTTCAATTGGCTCTCACAGTCCATAATCTTCTGCCTTATTTCTTGAAGCTGATCTTTTCAGCTGCTTTTCACTTTTTTGCTCAATCTGCAATTCATTTTCCCAAAACTCTTCCTTCTTGATTTTCACGGCATTCTGTTTGATGTTTTGCTCTAGGCAGATGATCTCTTCTTCCAAGTTTGAGTGATACTTTGGTTCCAAAATCGAATCTCGAGTTCATTTGATTCCAGCTGCTTCTTGATGGACTGAAGTTTCTTGGTCTGCAGGCAGATCAGTTTCTTTGGCTCATGGGCAGTTGCTTTGCAACTATTTAATACCTTTTGTTTAAATTCAGTTTCTTTCTCTTTTCCAATGATGTCCATTAACCCTTTGGCCCCTCTGGTGAAAGTCAAAGATTTCCTCTTAGGCTCTCTCCTCTTGATTGCCTTGTCTCTCAGGGGCCTCAGTTTGGCTAAGGGGGCAAACTCTGCCTGTACAAAGTTCTTTCTGGAATTATGGCCACGCTGTCAGAAGTGGGGCGCTCACTGAGTGATACCCTGTTCTTTGCAGAATGAGCTACACATTGCTCGCATACTGCCCCCATTTATTTAAAGAAATGATTGGGTTTTCATGAGGAGCAAGATGTCTTTCAGTATCTCTCCATTTTTCTATGATGGTGTATCTACCAGTTCAACCTAGATGGAGAAAAAGATGACACTGTCAAAATGGGACATGCAGGAACTAAGCCAAAGCAACATATCATTTGGTAATTGTCTATCTGTCTGCCCATCTATATATCTATGTATCTATCTATCTATCTATCATCCATCTATCTATTTTATTTCCAAATTGTGATTGGAACTCAGTACCTGATGCTTTGCTCATTGGTTGGCACCCTACCAACACCCTAGTCATTACTCCATCTAATCCCTCTTTTTAATTTTTTTTCCTGAGCTAGTACTGGGACTTGAACTCAAGGCTTTATGCAGTAGCTTGGCCTTTTTCTGCTCAAAGCTGGTGCTCTACTCCATGAGCTAAGCCTCTATTTCTGGTTTTTTGCTGGTTAATTGGAGATAGGGAGTCTCATGGATTTGTCTGCCCAGGCTGGCTTCGAACCTCAGCTCCTCAGATCTCAGCCTTCTGAGTGGCTAGGATTTATAGAAGTGAGCCACCAGCACCTGGCAATGATCCTAGTATTACAAAGAAACTTGATCTTACAACCTAGTAATTATATTGTATATATCATATTATATATGAAGCAATGGACTTCCCTTTCTTTTTTGCTTTCCCCCGAACCCCAATTTCAAATGCTTCTGAACCAATAGTATTTTCTCACTTATGATTTCAATAAATGGATATCTATATGTAAGAATATAAATACTAATGTACTAAAACAGGGGCTGGGAAGGTGGCTCAGTGGTAGAGCGCTTGCCTTGCATGCATGAAGCCCTGGGTTCAATTCCTCAGCACCACATAAGCAAAAGGAAAAAAAGCCGGAAGTAGTGCTGTGGCTCAAGTGGTAGAGTGCTAGCCTTGAGCTGAAGAGCTGAGGGACAGTGCCCAGACCCATAGTTCAGGCCCCATGACCGGACCAAAGAAAAAAAAACTGAAACAGGACAGAAAGAATGTTTTTGCTGAAGCATATGGCGATAGTATCCTTTAAGGAAATGTAAATCTTGGGTACAATGAAAAGTCGTGTGTCAGTATAACCCCTGCTTTCACTGTATTTGATGTCGGTATAATTTGTGGAGGGGAAGGGGAAAAACAAGTCGTTTAAATAAGTATACAGGTGGACGTGTTGCAACAATGAGAAGTACAAGTTGTCATGTCGAAAACGAACTTTACAACTTGGGGGGGGAGGATTGGGTGGGGGGGAAGGAGGATGGGAAGGGATGGGAAGGGTAAACAAAGGAGGAAGGTACAATGCTGAATAAAAAATGTACTTACTATCTTGCCCATGTAATTGTAACCCCTCAGTACAGTATTTTCACAATAAAAAAATATTTAAAAAGTCGTGTGTGTATGCACGTGTGTGCGTGTGTGTGTGCGTGTGTGTGTTTGTGTGTGTGTGTGTGTATGTGTGTGTGTGTGTACAGGGGCTTGTACTCAGGGCCAGGGTACTCTCTCTTGGCTTTTACATTCAAAACAAGGTGCTCTACCACTTAAGCCATGTCTCCACTTCTAGCTTTGTTTTGTTGGTTAACGAGATAAAAGTCTCACAGACTTTCTTGCTTAGGCTGGCTTTGAACTGTGAACCACAGATCTTAGCCTCCTGAGTAGCTGGGATTACAGACATGAGACAGCACCCAGTGAGTATTATGCAGAATCAGAGATTCCGAATCTCTTATGCATTCAACACTAGCATACCCTCATGTTTGGGGCATATTAAAAAACTATGTTGATTATTTGTAATAACCTTATATAAAATATTTTATAGAGCACAATAAACTTTCCTATAGCCCAAAAAAGAATATTATTTGCTCTTTTGAGATATGAGAAAGATGGCTAAAATAAAGTTGGGAATCCAGAAATGGGAGCACATAGAAAATGAAGTATATGTACATACATTTTTATATGACTACTCAGAACTGAACAACAATTATGGTGCCCAATAAAGGAGGGGGTGGGGAGCATGCAACCTGTGGTCCATATAAAACCAGTAAAATCATTTAGTATAGGACAAGACAAACATTTATGCTTCTCATAGGCTTCTCATTGGTTGCCTGTGGTCAAACTGCCTTTGTGATTTTGTATGGCCCATAAATGATGTCATAAATAAAAATGTTCTCTTCCTCAATACAATAAAGGCTGTATATGACAAACCTACAGCCAGCATTGTACTTAATGGTGAAAAACTAAAGCTATTTCCTCTTAACTCAGGAATGAGACAAGGATGTCCACTCTCTCCACTGCTCTTCAATCTAGTATTAGAATGCCTAGCTACAGCAATAAGACAAGATGCAAACATAAAGGGGATCCAAATAGGGAAAGAAGAAGTAAAACTCTCCCTCTTTGTAGATGACATGATCTTGTATTTAAAGAATCCCATAGACTCCACTCCCAAATTACTCAAGCTGATTCAAAACTTTGGCAAAGTAGCAGGGTAAAAAATTAACCCTCAAAAATCAATGGCTTTTCTGTATGCCAACAATGAGAAAAGTGTGGCTGAAATTAGGAAAGCAAATCCATTCAGAATAGCCCCACAAAAATAAAATACCAAGGAATTAACCAAAGAAGTGAAGGACCTCTATGATGAAAACTTGAAAAACTTGAAAAAGGAAATCAAAACAGAACTTAGAAAGTGGCAAAACCCCCCATGCTCCTGGATTGGAAGGATCAACATCGTGAAAATGGCAAGACTTCCCAAGGTTATCTACAAATTCAATACGATACCTATCAATATTCCAACCTCATTCTTCAAGGAAATAGAAGAGGCAATCAAAAAATTCATATGGAACAATAAAAGACCCCAAATAGCAAAAACGATCCTCAATAGAAAGAACAGTGCTGGAGGAATATCAATACCAAATTTCAAACTCTACTACAAAGCCATAGGAATCAAAACAGCTTGGTACTGGCACAAGAACAGACCTCAGGACCAATGGAATAGAATTGAAAACCCAGAAATGAACCTACAGACCTATAGCCATCTAATTTTCGATAAGGGAGCTAAAAAAATAGAATGGAAGAAAGACAGCCTCTTCAGTAAATGGTGCTGACAAAATTGGTTAACTACTTGCAGAAAACTAAAGCTAGATCCTTATATATCACCCTGCACCAGAATCAACTCCAAATGGATCAAAGACCTCGGAGTCAAAGCAGACACCCTGAAAACATTACAGGATGCAATAGGAGAAACCCTAGGGCTCCTTGGCACAGGCAGAAATTTTCTTTTCTTTTCTTTTCTTTTTTTTCTGAGTCCGGTTGTGGGGCCTGAACTCTGGGCCTGGGCGCTGTCCCTCAGCTCTTCAGCTCAAGGCTAGCGCTCTACCACTTGAGCCACAGCGCCACTTCCGGCTTTTTTCTTTTTGCTTATGTGGTGCTGAGGAATCGAACCCAGGGCCTCAGGCATGCAAGGCAAGCGCTCTACCACTGAGCCACCTTCCCAGCCCCGAAATTTTCTTAATAGAGACCCAGAAACACAACAAATCAAAGAAAGGTTGGACAAATGGGATTGCATGAAATTGCAGAGCTTCTGCATGGCAAAGGACATAGCTAGCAAGATCAATAGAAAGCCCACGGATTGGGAGAAGATCTTCAGTAGCCTTAAAACAGACAAGGATCTCATATCTAAAACATACCTGGAACTCAAAAAATTAAATCCTCCCAAAACAAATCTTCAAAGAAACAACTGCCCAATAAATAAGTGGGCTAAAGACTTAAAGAGAAACTTCTCTGAAGAGGAAAGAAGGATGGACAATAGACACATGAAGAAATGCTCAACATCCCTACCCATAAAAGAAATGCAAATCAAAACAACATTGAGATACCACCTCACCCCAGTTAGAATGGCTGTAATCAAGAACTCTAATAACAACAGATGCTGGAGGGGATGTGGATAGAAGGGAACCTTACTGCATTGTTGGTGGGAATGTAAACTTGTTCAACCACTTTGGAAAGCAGTATCGAGGTTCCTCAAAAGACTCCACAGAGAGCTCCCCTATGACCCAGCAATCCCACTTTTGGGCATTTACCCAAATGTTCAAAACAAGACCACACTAAAGCTACCAGCACGACTATGTTTATTGCAGCATTATTTACCATAGCTAAGATATGGAACCAACCCAGATGCCCCTCAGTAGACGAATGGATCAAGAAAATGTGGTGTATATGCACAATGGAATTCTATGCCTCCATCAGAAAGAATGACATTGCCCCATTTGTTAGGAAATGGAAAGACTTGGAAAAAATTATAGTAAGTGAAGTAAGCCAGGCCCAAAGAAACATAGGTCCCATGGTTTCCTTTATTTGCAATAACTAGTATATGTCTGAGTCAAGCAGAAAAGGTCAGATAAGGTGATGTTAGAGAAATGAACTCTAAGATATGTATTCAAATGGTTTTTTTTCTTTCAGGTGATTGTATCTAACACATTTATAAGATTATTTCTTTGTTGCTTTGTATGTCCCTCCCCCACGGTATAACCCCTGCTTTCACTGTATTCAATGTTGGTATAATTTGTGGAGGGGAAGGGAAAAAACAAATCGTTTAAATAGGGATACAGGTGGGCCCATTGCAACAATGAGATGTACAAGTCGTTATGTGGAAAAACGAACTTTACAACCTTGGTGGGGGGGAGGAGGATTGGGTGGGGGGATGGGGGGAGGATGGGAAAGGTTGGGAAGGGGAAACAAAGGAGGAGGCTACAATGCTTGATAAGAAATGTACTCATTATCTTGCCCATGTAATTGTAACCCCTCTGTACAGTATTTTCACAATAAAAAAATAAAATTAAAATGTTCTCCATTTTTGGAAGATATTAGTCTTTGAAAATTATTTTCATATTTTATTAACTCTGGATCTTCCTATATTATTATAGGAAGAGGAAGAGGAGGAAGAAGAAGACATTGATCACCTGGTAAAATTGCATCGCCAGAAATTAGCCAGAAGCAGCATGCAAAGTGGCTCCTCCATGGTAAGTTGTGTTAGTTCTGTGCTTATAAGGCACATTGGACATCAGAAAGGAAAGAAAGGCTGCCTCCCTAGAGCAGACTCAAGACCAGCGGAAATCATTCCAGTCATTGTTTTCAGATAAGGGAGGTGCATTTTTATTCATGACCTCAATTTAGACCACAGGTGCTTAGTGTACTTCTAGATTACTTCTTGACGATCTCCCTTGGAGATTTGTACATTAGATAATTAGGTCTAGGGATACTTGTCATCATGCCTTTGTCACACACTTCTTTGAAAAGTTATCCAGATCTTAAAGTGAGTATGATCAGATTTTTGTCATCACAGCACACTCCATAACTCACATTACAGGGAAATGGGGGTCATAAGAAGGGATCTCACTAGGTACACTGATATCCAGATATGATCAAACATCAATAATACCAGTCAGTATCATGAAGTTCAAAGGACATTGAAGAATCAGGGCATATGGCTATCACAAGTATAAAGACTGATGTTCAGGGGCAACAGAGTTGAAAATAAGGGTGATTAGCATTTTACACTCACACCCAGAAAAGGAATGGTGAATTCACTGTCAGAGAGGAAGGTGGCTTTTCACTTCTAGTGGTATTCTCCCCCACCCTCCTGCCCTTATTGTAGCTGATCTCTTTTCTCTATACATCTTGATAAACATTAGGCAGATAATTAAGGCATCATGTTTTAATTAATAGCTGTTTCTCATCCCTGTTTCATCATATATAACACCACAAGTGGATCTAATTATACCTTATTCTACTCTTTGTATGCCTTCTGGGAAAATGAAAATGAACAATAATATGTATAAAAGGAAGGGAAAAGCTAAGTTAAGAGCCTAGGTGAAGCCGGGCGCTGGTGGCTCACGCCTGTAATCCTAGCTACTCAGGAGGCTGAGATCTGAGGATCGCGGTTCAAAGCCAGCCCGGGCAGGAGAGACCATGAGACTCTTATCTCCAATAAACCACCAGAAAACCGGAAGTGGTGCTGTATCTCAAGTGGTAGAGCACTCGCCTTGAGATGAAGAGCTGAGGGACAGCGCTCAGGCCCAGAGTTCAAGCCCCATGACCGACCAAAAAAAAAAAAAGAGCATAGGTGAGCTGTGAGTTGATTTATTAACCTAAACAACTGTTAATGTGCTGCAAGCTCTGTCTCATCCTCTCAGTAAAGGACTTTTGGAAGTATTCACTTCTTGCAAGAGTTTCTGAAAATTATTCTCAGTAACCCTGGTTTTGTCACAACAGAAGAGGTAAGCACTGTGGATGATGGGATGGGCCTTTCTCAGACATTTGTGGGTGTCTTATCTTCAGAGTACCATTGGCAGCATGCTGAGCATCTATAGTGAAGCTGGTGATTTTGGGAATATCTCTGTGACAGGCAAGATTGCCTTTTCCCTGAAGTTTGAACAGCCAACACAAACTCTGGTTATTCATGTGAAGGAGTGTCACCAGCTAGCTTATGCTGATGAAGCTAAGAAACGTTCTAACCCGTGAGTGTTTCTGGGAACTGACTGATGCTCTTAAGATAAAACAGGAGACCTGGGTATCTGTCTGGGTACCCTGAAAGCAAGCTTATTATTTCCTGGGGTACAGGGATGTGTGATGTGAAAAAGAGCCCAGGATTGGGAAAAAGAATAGTATATTCAACAAGACTTACTATGACATTGTATTTCATAAGTACATATTTATATTCTGAGCAGGAAAGTGAAGAAGAAGCTTCAGAAAGGACAAAATTTTGCTGTGTTCTTGTTGCAATCTAGGTATGTGAAGATGTATCTTCACCCTGACAAGTCCCGTCAAGGTAAAAGAAAAACCAGCATCAAACGGGATACCATCAATCCACTATATGATGAGATCTTTAAGGTAAGTGTCTTGTGCTCTAAGCTGTGGGTATGCTTCTGTAGCATGGCTGGTTAATATGGGTTTCATTGAGCCATGTCTGAGTGTAAGGATTCACTCTGGGAATCTGTTCATATCCTGACCTCCTCCCAGAGGACAGAATAAGGTAATTTGGCTTCCTTGGACTATTGTGGAATTGGAGAATCGCAAAGCCACAAATATCTTTTTAAAAATCATTTGGGATAAAGAGTCTCTTTGACAATTATCCATGGACATTCCATTGGCTTTTCACCCTCTCAAGGAAAATTAATCAGTTTTCCAGGTTTGGACTGTGGTAGTTCCTAGTGAAATGGGGTAAGTGAGCTGAAACTTTCAGTGAGGAAACTCAAAGAAGTTAGAAACTAAATAAATTTGATGTCCAGTGGTATGGGCTTTGTGTATATGTTTTGGAAGAATCTTTTTAGAAGAATTACTCCAAAATGATCCTTTTGGATATCTCCTTTCCCTTCACAGTATGAGGTCCCAGAATCTCTCCTGGCCCAGAGGACCTTACAGTTTTCAGTTTGGCATCATGGTCGTTTTGGCAGAAACACTTTCCTTGGTGAGGCAGAGGTCCAGATGGATTCCTGGAAGCTTGAAAAGAAACTGGATCATTGCCTCCCTTTACATGGAAAGGTATTCTGCTTTAACAGCCTCTTTCACAGCTTGGATCAGTGTAGAATTATCTGGCCTGAATAGCATCTTTGAATGTAGTCTTAAGTAGAGTTCTAGCTCACCCTGCTGGCATTTCTGAGCTTAACAGCAACTTCAGAGGCTTTTCTATGTCAAGTGTGCATAAATTCCTTTGGTATAAGCTGTGCAAAGTATGAAATCATGATTTTGTTTCAAAAACTCTCTCATACATGTGTCAAGCTTTGCATTCTAATCTTCCACAGTCTGGGTATATCCTGATCAGTATCCTTTTCCAAGCTCACCTTCTGGCTACAGAAGTAGGAAGCAAAGCAATTCCCAGAGCTCCAATGGCTATATTCTTCTTACTCAGGCCAAGGAAATTTTTACTTTGGAGATGGTACCTCAAGTGATGGTATAGCAATGTGGCCTAATCATGGCTGGAATCTGATTGTAAACCTGGATTTCAATCTTGGTTGTATAACTTGCCAACTAGATGAGTCACCTGACTTACAATGTAGGGAATCAGAGCCTAATGCATGCTAGACAAGTTCTCTACCACTGAACCATACCCCTACCCCTACTTTTGGTCCTATAACTGTCAGAGAAATTCCTAATGGTAGAGTTGTAGAGTCAAGGGAAATGTATAGCTAATAATTTTAGTTGTTGCCTTCTAAATGTGCAAGAACATTGAATTTGTCCTTTTCAATACTAATAAATTCACAAGACAATATGTTGGAAATGATCTGTACAATTTGGGGGGGAATAGGATGAGGGAAATTGGGAGAAAAATGAAGGAGGGGATAACAAATTTGATGAGAAATGCACTTATTTATAAAACTATAACCACCTCTGTATATCACCTTGCAAACATGGTGTTAGAAACTTATTTGTTTTATACTCATGACGATTATCATTATTATTGTTACTATTATCATTTTAAGTGTAAGTACTTGGCATGAAAGCCATTCATTCAGTGTTTTACAGTTCATATAATTACATTAAAATGTAACTGCAAACCATTATGAATTACTGCCAGTAAAAATATCTTAAATAGTTCATAAGGACTACATTAAAACAGAGATATTTGTTCTTTACAAATACTTTGAGCCAGGATGAAAATATGCTACTGAAATGACCATGCAAGTTTCCAGCCTCCAGTTTTTAAGAGTGCACTACAGTTGACAATCTAGAGCTTAATAAATTTTGAAGCTATTTTACAAATAATAAAAAATGATTTCCATATTATTAATATCTATTTTATACAGCTCATGCTGTGAGAGACATAGTATAAAGAAGAGTACGATACAAAGAGAGCCAAGAGGGAAGCAGTTCTTCCCAGAAGCCAAAGATGATGCCATTTTCTGCCCATCCTCAACATTCATTCATTTACACTTATATTCATTCAGTAGATATTTGTAGAGTACCCACTCTGTACCAGGCACTTTACTAAGTGGTGAATGTACAGGGTGAATAAAATAGGCTTGGGCTGGGAACCAGTGGCTCACTCCTATAATCCTAGCTACTCAGGACGCTTAGCTCTGAGGATCAAGATTCAAAGCCAGCCAGCCAGCCGGGGCAGGAAAGTCTGTGAGACTCTTATCTCCAATTAACCAGAAAAAAAGCCTCAAGTGGAGCTTTGGTTTGAGTAGTAGATTGCTACATTTGAACACTAAAGCTCAAGGACAGAGCCCAGGCCCAGAGTTCAAGCCCTAGGACTGGAAAAAAGGGGGACCTTCATTCCTGTTGTCCTGGAACTAAGATCTTAGTGGTAGAGACATATACCAATTAAAAGTAATATAGAGTTGGGCACTGGTGGCTCACACCTGTAATCCTAGCTACTCAGGAGGCTGAGATCTGAGGATCATGGTTCAAAGCCAGCCCAGGCAGGAAAGTCTGCGAGACTCTTGTCTCTAATTAACCACCTGAAAACTGGAAGTGGCACTGTGGCTCAAGTGGTAGAGCACTAGCCTTGAGTTGAAGAGCTGAGGGACAGCACCCAGGCCCAGAGTTCAAGCCCCAGGACCGAGAAAACAACAACAAGACAAAACAAAAAAGAAGAGTTCAAGCCCCACCACTGACAAAAAAAAAAGTAATATAAAGAAAGGGCTAGGGCTGGGAAGGTGGCTCAGTGGTAGAGCGCTTGCCTTGCATGCTCGAGGCCCTGGGTTCGATTCCTCAGCACTACATAAGCAAAACGCCGGAAGTGGCGCTGTGGCTCAAGTGGTAGAGCGCTAGCCTTGAGCTGAAGAGCTGAGGGACAGTGCCCAGGCCCAGAGTTCAGGCCCCACGACCGGACCCAAAAAAAAAAAAAAAAAAAAAAAAAAGGAAGGGCTAAGGAATATATATGTCAGTGGTAGAGTGCTTCATTTGTGTGAGTCCCCAGGTTTGATCCCCACCACTGAAAAAATAATTAGAAATCATGGCATATTCAAATTGATGTAACATACCATCTAGCTCTTAAATCTTTAAAAATCCTCTTTAAAAATCATAGAATATATTTCAGTTTCATAAATCAAACCCCATAAGCCAGGCTTCAGTGGCTCATGTTTACAAATCAGGAAATTGAGATGTGGAACATCATGGTTCAAAGCCATCCTGAGCAGAAAATTCTATTGAATTCGATCTCTTTGCTTTTGTCTTGACATGGGGACTCAAACTCAGTGCCTGACACTGTCGTTTACTGGCTGGTGCTCTAACAACTGATGCATGCCTGTAACTCCTAGACTTCATCTAGGCAGCAAGGAGCTGGACTAGAGGTGTGGCTCAAGTGGTAGAGTACCAGCTGTAAGAAAGCCAATGAGAGCTTGAAATCCTAAGTTCAAGCCCTGATACTGACAAAAGCAAAGACACTGTAGGTGTTTATAGATATAGAGTAAGCAGGGAAAGTTGTGTTTCCTATTCCCATTCTGCTCCCCTCTCTAAAGAAAATAAACATTAGATTTGTTTATGTGCTTCTGGGATTTTCTGTACAATATAATATACTGATTTATAATAGTTCTTGGCATAGCGTAAGTACTAGAGAAGTGATAATGATAATAGTCACTATTTGCATAATATATTTGCACATGGATTTGCATATAAATATTTTACTAAAAGTGAATTTTTCTACATTTTGATTTGTTGACTTAATGTGGATATCTTTCCATTTTAAAAGGTACAGTTTTACTATATTCTCTTTTTTAGGCTAAATATGAAACCACAAATTAAATTTTTATTCAGCAGTTGTAAAATAAACGTGTAGGCTTATAATTAAGTATATCTTAAATTCCACCAACCTAAAATTAAAAATGATTTCTAGAAACAATTGGCACAATTGTTTAGCTAAGATAGGTAGTTGTAGACAAAACCATCCAAACAGTTCCTGCGTTAATCTGTCACATTGTATCTGGATGGCTACCTTTAAGGTGGTATCAAAGAGAAAGCTGAATGGTCTCTTTCCAGCCTTGGCCCTCTCCTTTTCTTTACTCATACTTGGGCTATCAGAGATAGTTATCTTCAAATCCCACATTCTAATGATTGCATGTCATATGCCATAGGAGGAATTAAATCACTTGTTGAACCCTTCTTAAATTGATTGGTATTTCTATTATTTTCACATTTGGAAATAATGCTGAAAGTATAGTGTCAATCTTTTGTGAATTTCTATGGCAACCTTACAGGCAGACATTTGAGAATATTTTCAGTTTAGTAACTGTATCTCCAAAGTTGTTTAATAGTAGGAATTGTGGAAGAATCTACTGGTTCTTCTGTATCTCCTCCTGAAGAAACTATGCCACCCATAGTAGAAGGACCTTTTTGTTCCGTGAAACCATAAAGCTGTCTTGAAAAGTCCCAACAGTGCCTGAAGACCTGGCTTGACTTGTGCTTCCTTGTGTTTCAGAACAGTGCCGAGTCTCTGATTAGCTTGCCATCACACAAAGGCGAGTTGGTGGTCTCCCTAAAATATATCCCAGCCTCCAAACTCCCCACTGGAGGTGACCGGAAAAAAAGTGAGTTTTCTTTAGCTCTCAGTCATTTATGTAGGATCTGCTAATTCTGTTGGAGAGACTAGGATGGGCTATCCCCATGGAAAGAGGTGTTTTGTTTTTTTTTTAAATAAGTAAGCCTTCTATGCATTTCTGAAGCAGACTGGGAAGCCTTGGAGTTGGTAGTCCTTTGTAAATTATTTTAGACTATTAAACTGACTTGATCTTGATTCAGCTGTAGCAAGCTTCTAAAAGGGGAAAAAAGAACAGAAACTTTAGGGTTGAGGTGGGTAGTTGGAAAGGGTGAGAAACTAGGAGGAATGAGAAGTTAAAGCTGATGAGGGCTGAGGAGGAGTAATTTGATATGCCAAGCACTTTGTTAATGACTATAGATATATGGAGGAATAAAACAATATACTTGCCCTCTGTTGAGATTAGTTCAGCAAGAAAGATAGCCATATGCTCAAGGGGCCTAAATATAAAGGTAACTAGTTCTTTCTTGATTATATTGGGGGGAGATTTGAAGAGAAAGTAGTGCTGAAATTGGTTCTTGAGATTTTACCAGGCAGAAAAGAAAGGAGAATGAGGACTGGATCTGGGATTGGAGATGAGTGTGAAGCCCAACTGAAAAAAAAAGGCTTTGAATATAAAAGGTTTAATTTGATTTAATGGTCAATGGGAAACCAAAGTTCTTAATATATGACAAAATGAGAATAGTTTTACCAAAGATAATGAAATATCATCTAATGTCTGCATTTCACTATTTATTTGAGTACAGGGCAATTTTTTGGAAATTGTATGCTCTCTAGAAACTCTGTGGATTTATACAAGCACTGTTTTATGAGTTATATAAAATATAAAAATTTAAAAATTCCTTCAGTGAAGGGAATCCATAGGTCCCAAAGAGGGTGTGCAAAATGGTTAAAGAAAAGGCAAAGACAGAATCATCGGAACATAAAGACATTAAAAGATAAAGAGAGGAAGAACTTTGTTAGTGAGGCCGAGAGTAATCAGGAGAGAGAAATACCAGGAAAGAACTTCAAGAAGAGGGCTGGTGTTTTCAACTGTATGGACATACTAAAAGAAGTCAAGGGAGATAAGGACTGAGAAGACATAGCGCACTGGCATTTGGTTGGATTGTATTTTCAGTTGGTCAGTAGAGGCAGAATCCAGATTTCAGTAGGAACTAGTTTGAGTGAATCATGGGGCAAAACATGGAGAGCTCTTAAGTGTGAGCTTTTTCTATGGTAATTAATGTTAAAAGGAAAGAAAGACATAGATAATACATCAAAGAATACATAAGATTGAAGGAAGGTTTTCTTTTAAACTGATTTTATTTTTTTATTTTATTTTTGTACACAAATGTTTATTTTTCAGTTAAACATTCCCTTTAAACACAAGGAATGAATTCTAAATCTTCATAAAGATGAATTAAAAATGAAATCCCTCCAGTATAGCTTGTGCAATCACTGAGTTCTTGGTCACTACTGTTTACTGTTTAACATCAAAAACAAAGACAGGTTATTTAAAAATCATGCTACTGGATTTCTAGTTCTTCCTCTATGACCAGCTCTATACTGATCTGCAATGTTAAACTGATTTTAAAAATAAAGGTGACTAGATAAGATATGGAATCAACCCAGATATCCCTCAGTAGATAAATGGATAAAGAAAACGTGGTATATACACACAATGGGATTCTGTGCTTCCATCAGAAAGAATGACATCACCCCATTCATAAGGAAATGAAAAGACGGGAAAAATAATATTAAGTGAAGTAAGCCAGACCCAAAGAAATGTAGGTTCCATGGTTTCCCTCATTTGAAATATATGTCTAGGATAGTCCTAGCAGAGGATCACAATAGCCCAATATCTATACATATATAACTATATAAAATGATGCCAATTGAAATGAACTCAATGACACTGGAAACAAGAGGGTTTTTTGTTATGTTTTTGTTTCTCTTTTTTTATAGAGTACTGTTTGCAGGTTTTATTTGTCTTTCTTTTTTTCTCCTCTGATTTATTCCCTGTGGAAACTGTTTCTGATTTTGGTACCCTATGTCTTATATATAAATTTGTCTGATTTGGGGAAGGGAAGTGGAGTCACAGAAATGATGGGACAAAGAGTGACCTAATGCAACAGTGATACTCACTAGACACTATATTGGAAATGAACTCTATAACTTGGAGGTGAGGGGAATTGGGGTGGGAGAAAATGAGGGACAGGATAACACTTAAAAAGAAATGTAGTCACTACCTGACTTAGGTAATTGTAACCCCTCTGTACATCACCTTTACAATAAAATAAAATAAAGGTGAAATTAGTCTATTTTTTAAAAAGGGGAAGATGTCAGTGGAGAAAGAGATAATAAAAATGGCATGTGGGATTCAAATTGATTCCGCCTGTTGAGTCCTGTGACATGGGGATAGAATCAGGAACTCATGTACAGTTCCCATTTTTAAATCAAATAGCAGGCGGCTTCATTTCCCTAAATTTGGTTCCTGATCTGTAAAATGATGACAATGATAGTGCTAATTTCATAGGATTGTTTACTGAATGCTTAAGGCAATGTCTGGTACCTACCCAGTTTTCAATAAGCATTTAATGCAATCCAGGTTATTAATTGAGCACCTACTCTGTACTGCTGGACCCTGTGATAGGAACTGAGGATACAAATCAGGCATGACTTCATTGTCATGGAGCTTGTTGCTTGCACTGTATAGATGTAGCTCAAGAGAAATCTGAAGTTGTGGAGCTCACTTGTTATGGCTGACATCCCTTACAGGTAAAGGTGGAGAAGGAGGAGAACTGCAGGTGTGGATCAAAGAAGCCAAGAATCTGACAGCTGCCAAATCAGGAGGGACTTCAGACAGCTTTGTCAAGGGGTAAGTCCCTAGCCCAGCACCAAACCAAGTTTCAGGACAACAGAGTTAGCAGAGGATCCCAATTTAACCTTACTCTATGGATTCTATCTTGTGTGTCCTGCGCACCCTCAGAAAACCTCTTTTTGTTCTTGAAATTAGGTAATGGGAAAACTTCCAGCACTACCTTTGCACTGGTCTGAGCTGGGCTGTGGTATTAATTTCAACAAAGGAGGATGATAGACAGGTTCTGACTTTTATTCAAGTTCTTCCTTAATCCTAGATCTCAGTTGGTGTCTTTGGATTGTATTTAGTAACTCGGGGCTTTGTTCTTTATAATTATGAAGCAAAGCTCCCTTTCCCCACATTGTAGATGTCTCACTGACTTAAGCTCCCTAGCAAATCATGTTTGGCTAAGCCAAGAAATATTCCTATTAGTCTTATTTGTTGTTTGTATGAGAAATCTGTCCCAATATTTAGAACTCATTTTTAGTGGCGGCTAGACAATAGCCTCAATAATAATAGATTCATTTTCTATCTAGGTTAAAGGAAGTGAATCCAATACATGATATAGTGGGGAGTCTGCTTCAGCAGATTCATATGGGGGTGTGCACTACATCTGCACATTGACTCACCTTCCTGGGCTAGGCCTGTGATAGAGAAAAGAGGAATTTAGACAGATATTGTCAGCATAGAATAAGTTGATTGCTTCCTGCCCTTTGCCAGATACCTTCTTCCCATGAGGAACAAGGCCAGTAAGCGTAAAACCCCTGTGATGAAGAAGACCCTGAATCCTCACTACAACCACACATTTGTCTACAATGCAGTGAGGCTGGAAGACCTACAGCACATGTGCCTGGAACTAACTGTGTGGGACCGGGAGCCCTTGGCCAGCAATGACTTCCTTGGAGGGGTCAGGCTGGGTGTTGGCACTGGTGAGTCTCTTCTCATCCTCTTTTGTCTTAAATCCTCCTGTCTTGTTTCACTCTCAATACCTCCTTCCCATGACATACAATGTTCCTCTACAACAGACATTGTCTTCTTTCTTTTAACAAGTATTTGTTGAGTGTCCGAGATGTGCTAGGCCCAGGGAAAGGCTGAATGTATACACTGTTATGTGAAGCTGATAGCTATGAACTCTATCATCATTCCACAGGAAAACTACAAAAATACCAGTATATCTGTATCAATGTATTTTTTCCATCTTTTATCTTGTTATAAGAATGGTCCTGGCTAGTAAGGGCCAACCTCTCTCAAGGTATTTCAGATCTCACCCTCACTTTCTCAGTGGCCCTACTTCTATGATCTCCATTTCTTCCTTAAGATCTACCCACTGAAGATGTGTACAAGTATCCTTGGTGTTTCCAATCTTCTTCAACAAAATCTTCTCATGACCACAAGTCCCCTGCTCTCATTTCTTTAAAAGAATGCTGTCTACTTATTTTTTTACTTCTCCTTTAGTACCAAGTCCACTCTACTGACCAAATGCTCATGCCAAAGTGTTGTTCTTATCTCACAAGAGTTCTCAGCAATATTTGATGTAGCAGAATACTCCATTTTCTTCAGATACTTATCTTCTACTGACAGTACTCTCTGATTCCCGTTGAACCCACTATCCACTGATTTCTACTATTGTCTGTGGGTTCCTTGTCCTGTATTCAAATGCTAAATGTTGGTGCTTCTCTGGGCTGAGTCTTCGATTCTCTTCTTTCTCTCTCCTGTACAATCTCCAGTCTCTAGATTTCCATGGCCTTAAATACTACATGTTTACCAATAACTAACACCAAAACATCTAGAGTGATGTTTTAACACTTGTAAGCTAGTTCTCTGCTTAAAAACCTACAATGACTGCTTGTCCTATTTAGAAAACAATCTAAAGTTCTTACCAAACCTACAGACCCTTATATAATTTGGACTGTTCCTTTTCAATCCCTCTGACTCATTTTCCTGCTTATTCATGTTGCTCCAACCATAACTTCTCTTCTCTTCTCTAAGTAGACTATATCCATCCCACTCCAGGACCTCCAGGACCTGGAAAAGCTGGATCTTTCCCATCCTTTAGGTTGTCACTCAAAGTCTCCATCTCAGAGTCCGTCACACCATTCCATCTACAGTGGGTCACAATCCAGGTCCTCCAAATCACCTTCTTTAATTTTTTTTATCTTACTATGTGAAATTCTATGGAACTTTGCTTATTGTATTTCTGTCTTTCCTATTTAAATGTAACCTCTTGAGGGCTTTATTCACCACTTGTATCTCCAGAGCCTAGAAGAGTACTTGGTACATAGTAGACACTCAGTAAATTTTTGTTCAATGGATGACTGAATGTATTGGAGACAAGAAGTCTAAATTCAAGAGCCAAAGGTGTTTCACTATTGTTATTTTTTGGTACTGGGGTTTCAACACAGGGCCTCAAATTTGCTCTGCTAGTGTTCTAACACTTCAGCTACACCTTCAGAGCTGCTTTTCACTTTAGAGATGGAGTCTAGCAAACATCTCTATCGTGGCTGGCCTCAAAACAAGATCCTCCAGATCTCAACCTCCCAAGTAGCTAGGATTACATGCATAAGCCATAGGTGCCCAGTTTTTTATATTCCAAATCAGGTTGCCAATAGTGGAAGGATAGTAATCCTCCCTCTGGCATGAGAATTCAGACACCAGTGCTCTGAACAAGATGAATGTAGTGACTGTGTGTTACTTGACTGTGTGTTACATCGCCTGAAGTCTCCTGATAGTCTCAGAGCACAAGATATCTGTAGGAATAACAAAGATCACTTCCTTAGCCTATCTTGATGTTTACAGTCTTTTATGGGGCAGTTGCCCTTGCGATTATAACCCATCTTCCAGGATGGGCTGAAGAGTGGGGTCCACATTCAGCCTCCTCTCTTGTTTCTCCTCAGGGATCAGTAATGGGGAAGTGGTGGACTGGATGGACTCAACTGGGGAAGAAGTGAGCCTGTGGCAGAAGATGCGACAGTACCCAGGGTCTTGGGCAGAAGGGACTCTCCAACTCCGTTCCTCCATGGCCAAGCAGAAGCTTGGTTCATGAGTCCCTCACATCCTCTGCAGGTCCAGCCCTAGCCAGGGCAAGTCAGAGAAAGTGAGGAAACCAAGAGCAAAGATTTTTAATTTAATATGTGGTGTGTGTGTGTGTGTGTGTGTGTGTGTGTGTGTGTGTGTGTGTTCAAACATGTATTCTTGCAAATCTCACTTTGCTAGGTAGAGTGGTAGAGACTTGTTCTTCCTTTGAAAGCAGGTTCAAGAATAAAGGCTTCTTCAAAATATTTTTATTTGTATATAATCTACTACATTTTCAGAATTCCTTCCTTCCTGTGTCTTTATAAGCGTCAATCAACTTAAAAAAATTTTGTTTTAAACAACTTTTCTCTTTTCCTTGCTATCCTGTTCTTACTTGTTGAGGAAGTTCCTGCAACTTTTGGCTTTAGTTCCATCTTGTGGTTCAAGGTATGCCTGATCTGGGGCCAAGGCTCTGAGAAGTAGGGTTGGGTTACCACAGGTGTGGGGGAGGGGAGGCAGTTATGAGAGGGACATTAAGTAGGTCCTGTCCTTTGGCTCCAATTTACACTTTTAACTCATCTTCTACCTTGATAAATTTTTGGCTTTTGTTTTATTAAGCAGTTTCCACTTTGCTTAAATATAATAATTTTCCTTGAAATGCTAAGCAAACCCCCAGCTTCTGCCAGTATTAGATATCTACTAGACCTTTGGAAAACTCTTATAATGGAGTCATTTTAGAAAATCTCTCTAGTTAGATGATGGCTTTCTGAATCATGAATGTGCCCAGTGAGATCTTCTACTGATCCCAGAAGACTCAAGTGATGGAAGTTAAAGGACCTCACAGCCCATCCTCAATTCTGCACATTTTAAATTCATATAGCAGTTGCTGGAAAGAGAATTCCTTATTTCAGTAATGAAAGATGAGATACCGTCACTCTCATGTAACACATGCTTCTCTGTCAGGCTGTGTAGCCTCACACAATATGGTTACATACCTACCTTGGTGTTGGCCAGAAGGGCCCCAGGGACTCCCTACCCTAGAAACTATTTTTGCCTTAGGAGAATGGGAGCAGATAGTCTCCCAGTCTGATATCCTGTCTCATAATGGCTTCAATTCCTATTTTCTATGTTTACCTACAGGCTACCTGGGAATGAATGGTGTGTTCAAGCTTTTCAGAAAGATTTCTGATGAGCCAACTTTCATTTCCATGCTACTCTCCCTTCCAAACTAATCATTTTATCCTTACAAGGGTATCTATACAGAGTGGTATGTGGAAAGGAGTCTATCTCAGAGAAGAAATTCTTTTCAATACAGCCAGCTGCTAGCTGACTTTTCTACAAGCCTACTGGACTGGGGCATCTAGTGTGGTTTCTACTGGATGTGTGAACTGAATGGAGGAATGTTCTTAAAAGATTTATTTGCTGTAGATTGGTACTGTAATGGGAAGTATTACTTGAAATCCTGGGTTGTAAGTTGCTCTTTTTTTTTCTGCCCCCTTACGTATAAGTGTGCTTCAATAAAGCTTTTCTATTTGTGAAATATTTGCACTTGTAAGTTACTTTTTTCTCTGACCTGGCTTACTATTGCTGCTTGTCTTAAAGGAGAAGAAACAGAATGATAAATGTCCTTCCCTAACCATCCTGTGCTTACTTGAACACAATTTGTCTTTTCTTTCCCACATTGCTGCTGACACTTGGGCTGAGCTCTGATACCCTGCCCTTCATGTCTGGCATCTCAAAGTGGCAGCACATTTTTCTCTCTTAAGCACTAAGGGAACTTGGTCTTTAGCTTTGATAATCTCCCTCCCCTTATGGGAGGGGACAGAGATGTTCTCACTGAAGGCAAGGAAGGCTTTTCCTGTTATAAGTCCTTCTTTCTGGATTCTTCAGTTTGCTGAGAGATGGAGAATTTTCTCTCTACTATTATTACTTAAGTTTGTGAGCTGAATAACACAGACTTGAATTAATTTATCTCTGAAATAAGACTCTGGAGTTTTATATAGAACACAAGTGACTTTTTTTTTTAATTTAATTTTATTGTAAAGCTACTATACAGAGGGTTACAGTTACATGAGTGAGGTAATGAGTACACTTCCTCTTGAACATTGTTACCCCCTCCATTGTTTTCCCCCTACCATCCCCTCCCTCCCTGCCTTCCCCGAGGTTCTTTTTTTTTTTGATTGTGATTAAATGATTACATAATTTCAAAGTCACAAGTTCATTCTAACTTCCCTGGAGCAAATTGTCTACCACAGTCTGTAATATATAACAGTGTTCACATGTTATATACCATGTTTGTGATCAGCAGCATGGGGATATTTAGTAGTGGTTCAACCAGATGAGCGGGAGTTCTTTGTTTCTTAAGTCCTGTTAGTTTTGTCGTATCACCTAACCTTTTGGATTTAGCATCCACTTATCAGGGAGACCATGTACCGTTTGTCTCTTCGTTCTTGGCTTACCTCGCTCAACATGATTCCTTCTAGCTCCATCCATTTCCCTGCAAATGCCATTATTTTGTCATTTCTAATGGCTGCATAATATTCCATTGTGTATAGATACCACAATTTTTGGATCCATTCATCTGTGGTGGGGCATCTAGGTTGTTTCCATATCCTAGCTATTGCGAACAGTGCTGCAATAAACATGGAGGTACACGTGTCCTTGTATATTGGTTCCTGTTGTTCAGGGTAGATGCCTAGAAGTGGTATGACTGGATCGTAAGGGAGGTCAATCTTTAGCTTTCTAAGGACCCTCCAGACTGCTTTCCAAAGTGGTTGTATAAGTGTACATTCCCACCAGCAGTGTAATAGGGTTCCTCTTTCTCCACATCCCCTCCAGCATTTGTCGTTGGCTGATTTGTGGATGTGGGACATTCTGACTGGGGTAAGGTGGTATCTCAGGGTTGTCTTTATTTGCATTTCCTTCACCACCAGGGATGATGAACATTTCCTCATGTGTTTCTTTGCCATTTTTATTTCTTCATTTGAGAAGTCCCTCTTTAGTTCCCTTGCCCATTTAGTAATTGGTTTGTTAGGTTTGGGAGGGATTCGTTTCTTGAGTTCCCTGTATATACAGGATGTTAACCCCTTGTCTGATATATTGCTGGTAAATATTTTTTCCCAATTAGTTGGTTGTCTTTCTAGCTTAGTTGCGATAGATTTAGCTGTGCAGAAGCTTTTTAAGGTAGTCCCATTTGTCGAGTCTCTCTCCAACTTGTTGTGACCCTGGGACTCTGTTCAGGAAGTTCCTTCCTGTGCCTATTAGTTCAAGTGTCTCTCCTACTCTGTCCTGCAGTAGTTTCAGAGATTCAGGTTTAATGTTAAGGTCTTTAATCCATTTCGAGTTGATGTTGGTGCATGGTGATAGGCTGGGGTCCACTTTTAGTTTTCTGCATGTGGCTGCCCAGTTTTCCCAGCACCAGCGGTTGAAGAGGCTGTGTTTCTTCCATTGTATGTCTTTGGCTCCTTTGTCGAATATCAGCTGGCTGTAGGCCTGTGGATTTATATCTGGATCTTCTATTCTGTTCCATTGGTCTTCGGGTCTGTTTTTGTGCCAGTACCATGCTGTCTTTGTTATTATAGCTCTGTAGTAGAGTTTGAAGTTCGGCATGGATAGCCCTCCCATATTGTCTTTATCCCCTAGAATTGTTTTGGCTATTCTAGGTCTTTTGTTGTTCCATATAAATTTTTGGACTGTTTTCTGTATTTCAGTGATGTACGTCATTGGGATTTTAATAGGAATTGCATTGAATTTGTATATTAGTTTTGGAAGTATCACCATCTTTACTATATTAAGTCGGCCTATCCAGGAGCATGGGAGGTCTTTCCATTTCCTAGTGTCTTCTGCAATTTCTTTCTTTAACTTTTTATAGTTCTCATTAAATAGTTCTTTTACATCTTTGGTTAGGTTAATTCCTAAATATTTTATTTTTTGGGAGGTTATTGTGAATGGGGTTGCTCCCTTTATTTCCCTCTCTTCCTGTACGTTATCAGTGTATAGGAAGGCAACTGATTTTTGTGGGTTTATTTTGTATCCTGCTATTTTGCCGAAGTGACTTATGATTTCTAAAAGTTTGGGGATGGAGTTTTTGGGATCGTGGAGGTATAGTATCATGTCATCTGCAAAAAGGGATAGTTTAACTTCTTCTTTCCCTATGCGGATCCCTTTAATGTCTTTTTCTTGCCTTATTGCCCTGGCTAAGGGTTCTAGGACTATGTTGAAGAGGAGTGGAGACAGTGGGCATCCTTGCCTTGTTCCTGTTTTTAGGAGGATTGGTTGTAGCTTTTCCCCATTAAGTATAATATTGGCTATTGGTCTGTCATAAATGGCTTTTATTGTTTTTAGAAATGTTCCTTCTATTCCTATTTTCTCCAGAGCTTTTAGCATGAATGAATGTTGAATTTTATCAAAGGCCTTTCCTGCATCTGTGGCGATAATCATGTGATTCTTGACCTTGGCTCTGTTGATATGCTGGATTACATTTATTGACTTACGTATGTTAAACCATCCCTATGTCTCTGGGATGAAGCCTACCTGATCATAGTGTATTATTTTTTTTATGTGTTTCTGGATTCTGTTAGCTAGAATCTTGTTAAGGATCTTTGCATCTGTGTTCATCAAGGAAATTGGCCTGTAATTCTCCTTTTTGGTTGGGTCTTTGCCTGGTTTGGGGATGAGTGTGATATTGGCTTCGTAGAATGAGTTTGGGATAGCTCCCTCCTTCTCTGTTTCTCTGAAGAGCTTGAGGAGTATGGGTATTAGTTCTTCTTTAAAGGTCTTATAGAATTCTGCTGTGAATCCATCTGGTCCTGGGCTTTTTTTTGTTGGAAGACTTTTGATAGCTTCCTGTATCTCATTATAGGATATTGGCTTATTTAATTGGTTAACTTCTTCTTTGCTCAGTGTGGGTAACTTGTATTTCTCTAAAAATGCATCCATTTCCGCCAGATTTTCTTCCTTTAGAGAGTATAGCTTTTGAAAGTAGTCTGTTAGAATTGTTTGGATATCTTGGGTACGTGTTGTGATGTTTCCCGTGGCATCCCTAATCCTATTAATATGGGTTTCCTCTCTTCTTTTTTTAATTAATCTTGCCAACGGGCCATCAATTTTGTTTATTTTTTCAAAGAACCAGCTTTTTGTTTGGTTTATTTTGGTTATGGTTTTCTGATTTTTTAATTGTTTAATCTCTGCTCTCAATTTGGTTATCTGGCTTCGTCTAGTAGCTTTAGGTCCCATTTTTTCTTGTTTTTCTAGCTGTTTTAGTTGCAACATGAGATTATTTACTTGGTCTGTCTCCATTCTCTTGATGTGGGCACTGAGGGCAATAAATTTGCCCCTCAGGACTGCTTTTGCCGTGTCCCACAAGTTTCCTTGTGAGGTGTTTTCATTTTCATTGTGTTGTAGGAAATGCTTTATTTCTTCTCTGATCTCTTCTGTTACCCAGGCCTTGTTAAGGAGTGTGCTGTTCAATTTCCATGTATTAGAGAAATTTCTGCGGTATGCTTTGTTATTGAAAGCTAGCTTGATTCCACTGTGGTCAGATAGGATACAGGGGATTACGTCGATCCCTTTGTATTTGCTTAAGTTCCTTGCATGAACTATAATATGGTCTATTTTGGAGAAAGTTCCATGAGCTGCTGAGAAGAATGTGTACTGTGTTGTTTTAGGGTGAAATACTCGGTAGATGTCAGTTAATTCCGCTTGAAGTATGGCCTCACTTAATTCGGTAGCTTCTTTGCCAATCTTCTGGTTGGTAGACCTGTCCTTTGGTGAGAGTGGCGTGTTAAAGTCTCCTAGTATTATCGTATTGGGATCTATTTTATTCTGTAAGTTTGAGAGCATTTGTTTAACATATCTGGGTGCACCGATATTTGGGGCATATAAGTTGATGATGGTTATATCCTCCTCTTGGATTGTTCCTTTTATTAATATGTAGTGTCCGTCCTTGTCTTTCTGTACTGATTTTAATGAAAAGTTTATTTTGTCAGATATCAGGATAGCTACACCTGCTTTCTTATTGGGGGAATTTGATTGGTAGATCCTTTTCCACCCCTTCACTCTGAGTTTGTTTGTATGTTTGGCTGAGAGGTGGGTCTCCTGAAGGCAACAGATGGATGGGTCTTGTTTTCTGATCCAGTCCTCAGTTCGTTTTCTTTTAATTGGCGAATTCAGCCCATTTATATTAAGAGAAAGTATAGAGAGATGCATTGTTGTCCCTGCCATTCCGTTTTCCTAAGTTTTTCTTCTTTCCTTTCCTCCTGTGCTTGCTCAGTTAGACTTTGAGTAATGCCTGTTTGGGGCAGGTCCCAGTTCCTGGTTGCTTTCTTCAGGTTGTGTCCCCCCTCTTAGAATTCTTTGTAATGCTGGCTTAATGTTTATGTATTCATTTAGTTTTTCTTTGCTATTAAAAGTTTTCAGTTCTCCATCGAATGTGAATGCTAGCTTTGCCGGGTATATCAGTCTGGGTTGGCAGTTATTGGCTCTCAGGGCTCGTATGGTGCTTTCCCAGGCTTTTCTTGCATTCATTGTTTGTGTG